ATTCCACGGTGCCTGCTGGCATACTTTGTGGGAATGGGTGACAACTTCCATCATCGCCATTGTCATCCAGGCTGTCATCTTGGACCCACTCAAGGCTGTTGTAGTGACTGTAATGAAAAGACGTAGTGACAAGAGAGCCAACACACTCATGGCCACTCCTCACTCACTGAGTCAGTAAACTACATGTGTAAATTGATTACCATCCATCACACACAGGTTTGAGCTTGAAAATGACTCGACACTTTTTATGTAGGATTTGTGCAATACAAAATGGCGGCAAATCAAGCTGAATCTGAAATTAATTTGCTTAAGCTGATATTCTCCTTTTATACATGGACGATTGTTGCATGTTGCACTTCAAATATTGGAGGATTTTCTGCAGGGGTGGTCATCATTCAGTTTTACCAATTTTTGGAGCAATTAGGTGAAGCAATGTGACATACACGAATATATTTTCATTGTGAAATGGTGAAAGAAATGTAAAGAGAGGTATAAATTTGGAAAATCAAAAGGGAAGTTTGCATTCTTATTTGTTTAGGAACCGGCGTTTCCTGTGTCATGGAAAGGCTTCTTGTATAATGGGAAGATTGATGCACTTTAAAGAGAAATAAGCCTCATAGACTGATAGAATATTTGAATTGATTCCTGTGTGGAGCTTCCAGAAGGAGATGTTCATCCTCGTCTTTATTGTTGTTCGTGTCAATGGAAAACTCTAAACAGTGCTACATCTTTAAGTTGACAGTGATTATGGTTTTCATGACCAACTTCATTTGTTTTCAAGGACAGTGTTTATTATTAAAGAAAATCACATCGTTTACTGAATTTCATAAATGGATGAATTGGAAAATCTGTATTTTTTCACTTTTCAATAACCAGCAATCCAAATTATGTCACAAGTCAAATTTGAATGTTTCAAAATTAAAGATGTACTATTTTGTATTCAATTACTTCTATAATCAAGTCATCAGAAATTGAGGAAACTTGAACCTACCTACATTTTAAACTATCCCTATCAAAATCCTTATATGAATTAAACTGCTTTTTGCAAATAATACTTATCATCAGAAAGTTATTTGAAAAACATTATTTGAAACCGAAACTTTTTAGGGAAAACTTCTGAATTTATATATTACCCCCAACCAAAACATTCCAGGACATGTTCAAGTTGCACATAGCTTTTGGAAAACTGTGAATTGGTATTACCTTGTAATCAGAGGGCTCAGGGCAGAAATAAACTTCATGGAAAAAACAAAGCATCTATCTTTTGTGTTAACATTCGCTTGCTTTATCTGTTTTATAAATTCCAGGATAATTTCAAAACAGACGGTAGGGGGCACACGCCATGTACACCCCTTGCTCCAGATCTGTACTTACTGTGGTTTTATGCATGCATTATTTGGGTCATGTAAATTCTCAAAATTAGACACTAGGATTAAGGTCGCTTATTGTCAGAACTAGTCACCTATCTCTAATAGTGGTTAATAACCAAGGCAAATAAAATTAAGTCCAAAAAATGTTCTGTAATTTTGTTCATTTGTTATACACTTCACAATGATAACTCACAAAAGACAAGACACAAATATTAAAAATAACTTCATTACACCTATCTGGCCCTACCCAAGGGTCAAATGGTAACATCGAAAATCAAGATACACCCTCCGTTAATTACAGTTTGCCCGAAACTCACGTAATTCTCCAGTAAAATTGTGTATCCCACTTATCAAGAATCTAATTTGGTTAGCTGTCAGCAAGTTTTGATCAGTTTAATTCAATGCGATTACATTTATCCAAATTTAAATTCAATTCCAGGCGCACCCTTATTTATCTACAACGATAATAATTATTTCACATGAATTATAACTTACATAATACTCCAAGGAAGGCTTTATATAAAATAATGAATTTAACTGACTTGATGGCTTTATCAATGGGGCTGTATAAATTCTGTGGGTCGATCACGCAGTTTCTACTTGACTCCACTTTAAATGGCCTCCCTCCATATCCACACGTCTACACAATTACATCTGCACGCGTTCCTCTTCCGTCAGGGCTCGGAACAGAACATCAAGCCAGACCATCAAGACCAGGGCCGTTCTCCAATACTCAACTTCGTCTTCATCTCGGGCTTCGTTTTTGAGACCAATCCCTGACTGTGGGCCTAAAATGTTTAAATTTAATTGAATTTCTGTAATGTTTGGCTTGTTCACATCTTACTTGATGTTTTGTGACACTATCAGACGTACTATTGCGCTGACAACTTCAGTCAGGTAGTGAAAAAACAGTTTAAGCCTGAGACGGAGCCGAAGTCGCGTATTGGAGAACGGCCTACAGTACATCAAAAATCATCAAGGGCCTTCTGTGAATTCATCACGTTCAGTAAATTCTCAAAATATTAAGCTCTATCAATTAAACATGCAAATTCGCTCCTTTCAGACTTTTATATCACCAGTTAGTAACATTAATGTTGTTTCCACACACCCTTCAATGTAGTACTTATTTCCAACTTGGAACTCTCTTAATCAATTGATACAATTTCAGTTCAACATCTAGATAGAGCCATCACTTCTTATCAAGCCCAATTATTCAAAATGTTCACCAGTTATACTCCAATTAAATCGAACTCCTGATTCCATCCTTATTCCTGGTGCATCTCACAATAATAAATATGGTAAGGAAAGCAATATTTCTGTCATTCAATAGAAAATAATAAAATAATAAAATTCTTTAAGTTACGGTTGCTAGTCGATGTTGTTGACTTGTCTCCCTCAAACGAGCCAAGTAAAAATATAAAATTGATTCAAAATCTGCTAAAAACATAATCCTATAAAATAGCTGTAATTCTTCCAAGTCAGGTTGACTCAGAAGATCTCTCTTTGGACCTATACCTTGCCCAAAAGTCAAACAAAATTGCTGCAGCAGAGCACATTCACAGCACAACCACTCACTCAGATACATGGGAGACAACTGCCCTGACTCTATTTTCAAACCGAACCTTCCATTAACTTACACCTCATTGGCTCATGCTTTTCAAACTTCACTGCACTACCACCCTCATTCAAACAAAAACTTGTGCATATACAATTATGTTCCTTACTGGAGTGTGTGTTTGAATGTGGGTTAGGGAAGATGCTCCCAAAAGTACGCGTGCTCAAGGTGTCTTTATTGTTTGACCAGTCAACCATGGCTCTGGCCCATTCATACAAGTATGTACAGTATCTAAAAGACTGAAAGGGAAAGACAGAAAAGAAACAGAATTATTCCCAGATACTCCGAGGGTGGTTTATTGTAACTCTTCATCCCACCCAGCCCCACTCCCATCGATTAACTGCCCCTTCTGTTTGCTTTAGGGCTTGAATTGATGTTTTCCCTTTTCAATGTGCAAGTTTGAAATTTCAGGGCACATTGAAATCTGGTCCTCTTCACTTTAGGATGAAACACAAGTTGCTGAGGGGGCCAATAATCATATCTGCATTTTGAACACAGAGAAAAAGAATAAATTCACTACCAGTGCATCAGCTGACACACAAACTATACTAGAGCAAATCTGGAAATTGGGAAATTTTGTACTTCAAGCTTCACATTTTCCCCTTCTAAACTAATTTGATACTCTCCATTATACTGATTGTATAGGTGATGTTTCATTACAGAGTAAAAACTGTCAAATTGTAATGTACACACTTGACTCAGGGAACTACACGTAGTCAGTAATAAATTAATAAATTAAACAAACAAAACCAATTACAGCATTGTTTTGCTGTATTTCTCAATTGGATACAATATCAGTATTACAAGTTTCTTTTACATGTATATATTTACATTTACACAACTGAATATTATTAGCTATCACTGTGTGCGAGTGGAACACGGAATAATGTCAAGGGTCTGTGTCCTGTACATCACTTGGCCGAAGTATACGGGACAGATGCACTACATTATTCTGTGTTTCACGAGCACGAGCATGATAATGAATTTATCTTCAAGCAAACTTGACACACAGTAATATATTAATATTTATGTATTTATTCGGAACAACTCCATCTTGGAGGTAATTAGAGGTAATTATTGGCATCAAAATAAAAAAGTATGAACAAATCGTTATTTTTCACAAGACATGTTAACTGCCACAGTTATTTAACTGTCAGAGTCGTATTCAAGTTTGATCTTCATAACAGACTGATTTAAAGAGACACCATTACTTCGGTGGTGCAACTCACAAGTGCAGTTTTAACCTTGACGCAAGCATGCAATTTGAGTCACAACACCCCATTGGACAACAAGGCATTCAATGCACTCCTACCACACGATGCACCCAGGATTTGTCGGGAAGGGGTGGGGTGCTTGGACCAGCATTTAACCCCCAAATAGCTGATACTCAAGCCCTCCCCCTCTCCCACTGTCCCCAGTTGCACCACTGGGGACTGGGGTTTATTTACAGCTATTTCAGAGCCAGTAGTTTAGGATGTAGGTGAATATTGTATCTTTCTTTTTTTCAGAAAGGAAAAACCCTTCGAGGAGGAGTCCTCAAGGCCCCATGAGACCATGAACCCCTTCAAGGAGGGGTCCTCCAACCCCAGTGAGACCACAAACCCCTCCAAAGAAGGGTCCTCCAGCCCCCATGATGCCACAGAAGTCATGGCTTAATTAGGGGTGCCAGGTTATTTATTGAACTCTGGCCATTTGGCAAGTTTGCCAAGCTCCCCAGACAACTGGGAACATGAGCTGTATCGTGTACTTGCATGTGGGATATGCAATACACGCTACTAGTGGTGTACAATGGATTCAATGCATTCAAAATCAATATTGCTTATCAATGAACAAACAGGCCAAATAGATACATATGCAGATTGTACATTTGGAATTGTTTGATTGTCCAAGGCTTGGAATATCATGTAATATTCAATAGATGCAGTGACTGGACAATGCTTTTGAATGGTAGTATGTTAATGAAGATCTGAAGAGTATATAGTATCCTGATTTTTTTTTTTAGTATTCTTGAGCATTCAAATTTGAAATCCTCAGACTAAGCATGGGTGCATCCAAAAGTAGTGGCGGTAGCCAGCTAGCAATAACATATACCTATGGGATCCACTATCTACTGGCTGCCTCCATTTCCCATAGACACTGTGCATAATGTCAGCCGTAGCCAAGATTTTTGGGAGCAGCTACATATATGTAGTAACACCCATTTCAGGAAAGTTTTAACAAATAATGGGTACAGGTGTCATGAAAAAAAGAAAGCGAGATGTTGTTTCTTGAATTAACTAATTAATTTGGTTAAATGGTAACCATCATCAGCTTCACAATGATGTCCTCTTTCGTACGACACCAAGAAATCCAAATTTTGAACCAAACAGCCGTTTTGATGTTGAGTTTGTACTGTGCAGAGATGGCTTTTGTCAGAATTACGTTATGTTTGCTAAAATCTCCAAAATGCATGTTAACCACTTAAAAGCAATGAGAACACTCAAAGGGCAAAACATTGCATTGAAAGGAATGGGGGCCATGTTGAAGGACACTGGGGTAAAGCTGTGGCAAGAATAAGCCCCCCCCCAACTGTGGTTGTCTTTGAATTAATGATTTTGGTAGTTTACTTAATGCTTGACGCTGTGCAAACCTATGATGCATCTGGTGCAAAGCCATTTCTGACACGGTCCGTTAAACCACTTTGTGCTCAGTCATGTGTGATGGAAATGTGGATTTCTTTGTCATATGAAAGAAAATGCATACTGAAGCAGATTACGTTTACCATTTATAAAAATAATTAGTCACATTCAAGAAACAGATAAATAAATCTTGGTTTCCTTTTGCAAGACACCTGGTATAGCATACATATACACCTTTTATACTGGTGTCCAATGGCCCATAAACATTCCTAACACCACATCAACTCCCCAGGGAGTATACACCCCACAGCTGCCATTTCAAGCCAAAATGGGATTTCAAGCTATTCAGGATGACAGACAACTAAGGTGGAAAGGAGTCTCCTGACAGACGGAGTCTCCTGTCCGAAACGTTGAGTTCCTCACGGTGCTTTTCCTCACGGTTCTTTTCAGAACCATACAGACTCACAAAAGAGATCGTATCCTTGCATGGTGCTACCGCAAGCTTTCCACAAGCCAAAACGGTTATCCAAACACAGTAACCCTCTCTGCACCCTCACAGGTACAGATTTATGGAGAGACATAAATTTATGGAGAGACAGTAAAGTGACTTGTCCAACATCACAAGATATCAGCTGTTGGATTTGAACCTCTGATGACCCTATGTTCAGGAGTTACTTACTCTAAGAACCACTTAGCCATGTGCTTCCAAATAGTGCAGTGGTTCGCTGCAGCTGTCTTTACATGACTGTGCAAAAAGTGGCCCTGAATGAGCCGGTTTGGTATTTAAACAAGGAATATCATTCGAGAATTAACAACCTGACATCATGCTGGCTTGACCAGGTTCGGTGAATGTGAGTTGCCACACGACCACACAAGACAGCCAGCCTCTTCTGCACATGCTGATATTTTCAAATTGACCACTGACGGACATCATTTTGAGCATGAGCTGTTGAAATACCACACACCAGCTCTTTCAAAGCTCAGTTTGTTATACGAGCGAAGCAAAACTTGATGAAGAAGTGGCTTATTCCATAACCAATCCCTCAACAAGTCAGAAGTAATTCCAATGAACTGTGATATGGCTGCAGTGAAATCCACCCCAGGTACTAGCAAATCCCTGGAAATTTGTCGGGGTCATTTCCAAGCCAAGCCACAAACTACAAATATTCAACTGAAGTGAAACTGCAGCAGTTGCTGACTGGTCTTGTGACTGGACTTATGGTGGAATTGACTATAAAGCCTTACGCTATGACAAAGGCATTCCTTTCTAACCTTGGGCAAATGTACTGGTAGTTACCTGTGAACTGACTAGCAATGAGACTTGTGGTGGGCTACACTACAAGAGTTAAATTACACGTATATCAACAACCAGCTGCGGATAATTCCACACAGTGGAAAAGTCAAGGATATGACCATATTAGTGTGCAAAGAAATACATGGATGGGGTAACAAGAGAAATAGGATATTCCAGATGCTCATTAAATTAAAAACACCTCAATTCCAACATGTCCTTGTATACACTACACAAAGAAATACTCTGACAAAAGCTACTGATTAATATGATCTGGATTAGTTTTCCTCCACTTAGGAAGCAAAATAAGCAAATAATCACTGAAAATTTCACTAAATTCATTGGCTCGTTCTTCTCTACAAAAAAATGTACAATTGCCATTGTGTGGCAGTATTCCGATTCACACGAATTCATTCAACCTGACGAATGAAAACCAATTAGAAAAATTACACAATTTCAATCATTTATTTCTAATTTCAGATAGAGTCACCGATCACAACACTGGTGTACATGCTCGCCCTAACGTCGGTTCATACTGCAGACAAAAGCAAATACAAAGTGAATTTGTCAGGAAACAGCACACATCACAGTGGAACTTTAATAATAGACGTTATGAAATTCGCTTCGCTTTTGCGTGAAGTATGAACCGGGCTTTACATGTTCAACCTGCCCCCCTTCCAAATCAAGAAGTCTTCAGACAGTACGGCATGGATAAAGAGCTTTTACCAAGGCACGTTTTGCCATGAAGACAGGTGCACACACTTATTATTACAGAGGCAAATCTAACTCAGATCACATTGACAAGCTAAATCATTACGAATGGGTCATTCCATGAGGTCGGGGCACAATTTGTGTCCTTGTTACGTGGGTAACTTTTACCACCGGTCATGACCTGTTGAGACATGACCTGTAGAGTAGGTCATTTACTCTGTAAAAATAACACACACCTTGCAAGCCTTGCAAGATGTACAACATTGTCAATTTGGAATCAACATACAAAGAAATAGCCGTTCATTTTTATGGAACCCATGTAACAATTGACATCGTCACAAATTGTGCCCCAACCTCATGGAATGACTCAAATGCAAAGTTTAAACTTGTGTTCAGAAGAGATGGACATGGCTGGAAAAGTGCCACCATGTCACTTACAGGTACCAACGCTCTAACCCATTTTTTACGGTACAAAGTAAATCTGGGCACAAGTTTCAAAATGTTGTTTCCTGGTAACAGCTTAGGGGATATATTTTTTAAATACAATGCAAAATAGTCCAAAAATATAAACCTTTGTAACAAATCACATCTTTAAAATGGTAGCCTACATGCATCTTAAATGAAGAGTTTAAGGGATATTACGCTTGTAATAGTATATGTGCTTGGCCAGTCTTAAATGTGTGTCTGGTTCGGGATAATGAACTTAACTAATGCCCTGAGCCACAGGTGAGGACATAATCAGCAGTCACTCTCTTCAGCCAGTTTAAGACTGACCAACCACATATTTACACCTACAAATATTTATTAAAACCCTATTAGTCCGAGTCAAAAGAAGTTAATATACAATAAATTTCAGAGGGATTTGTTCAGAATTCTACTTATTTTCCTGAACACATTTGTCTATTTCATGGTACAGTCCTTGTGCAAAGTAGTCCAGACGAATCTCCTTATATGATGCCTGCATGGCGAGTTCTCCATGCTGCACTGCACACAGACTCTTGACCAATAGGAATGGATTAAATTACCTCATTTTCAAGTGCCAGCATGTTTTCTCACAGTGGGTATTATAAACTCACAATGGACATTATAAACTCACAGTGGGCATTATAAACTCACAATGTGCATTATAAACTCACAGTGGGCATTATAAACTCACAGTGGGCATTATCAAATCACAGTGGGCATTACCCAATGTTAATACACGGTCACCTTGCGCATTACTGAAGAGGGAAACTGTCTGTCCAGTAGTTTAAACGGCAAAAATGTGCTCAAGCACCTGGAAGGGGGGAAATGAATTTAGAGTAGCTTAGGTGCTGTTCTCTCCTAGCTCCACCCTTAACTCCTACTTTCCTTATGTAAAATAAACGCCGAAGAAGTACTGGAAAGAGGTGTTTAAGTAAGATGTGCACCTAGGCTACTATTAATTCATCACTGTCCCTTCCCGGTTGGCAACCCTTTAAGCAGAAAAAATGATTTGGTACTTTTTTATGGTTGAGCTTAGGTGATAAATGTGTTTCAAGTCAAGGTGAGGTACAGTGTAGATCCGTCTTTCCATGCAAACCTGTACCATCCCAACTAGGGGGGTGGCACCAAATGGAAAGCCTGGCCAAAGTTGAGAAAGTACTGCAGGTGTCATGGTGCTCACGTCTAGCTTCATTTTCATGCAATACCCTTGACCATAGGGGAGTCATTACCAATGCTGCAAATGAAACGGACCACATCGGTGACTGAACACAAACTCCCTTAGCATCTCTATGTGGAAATTGATCGGTCATGCACATGACCATGTACCCTATCTGGACGCTGTATATGTACTACTATGTAGTTTCACTGTTACCATTTGTTGCAGTCATATCTGTGAAATGCAAAGAACTGAATTTTCTTGTATTGTCAGGCCAGAAAGAAACACAAAAATAGACCAAGTTAGAGAAAAAGAAGTGTTCTTGAAGTATTGTTATGTCCCAAAGAAACACAAAAGATACAAATTAGAGAACCCAAAATAAAAACTACGAGTTCTACTTACCACACAATTAGGTAAGATATGTATATACACGTACATACTGTAATTTGTCCATAATCCTATGAACTTATTATTTCTTCATAAGCAAATGAAAGCATTTTAAAATCTTTCCATTTTTAATTTAATTTCTTTTAGTATAGGTATCTGTCTATATCAATTAAGCTTCAGCTGGTTGAAAATATTTTCCCTTATCAGAAAGCGCTTTCCAAATACTTTCACAAGGGTTTACACATCAAAATTTTTTACTTGGTAAAACTTCAGAAATGTAGTCAGGGACATATCGCGTATGATTGGACTGACCGTGAAGAGCACCTCATCTGAGATGCATTTGCATTCAAGCAAAATTGAGACGGGAAACACTACACTAATTGTGCCCTTTATGAGAAGGCAAACCTTTTGCTATTATTACAAACCAATGTCACAGGGCAGCCATATTGACAACACAATATCATTAAGGTTTTTCCTCAGAGAAAAAGAACAAATTTGTCACTTCTTGTGAGAAAGTTAGCAAGTGTGAGTTTGCCAAAAAAGTGTGGCTTTTGAATTTGTTCACTGGGATTAGGGTTATTGATCAAAAGACATTTGTACACAAGTCTATGCAAATATTTCCAACTTTGAACAACGAACTGGTTTGGGGATTATGACTGTGACATTTAACGTGCCAAATCTTCCATGAATCATCCATACAGTTTGCCAAGGAACTGGACAAGCCTATCGCCCTGTTTGCTGGAAGGGTAGTGAGCGTGTTGACACTTGCACATAGGATGACCTAAACAGTGCCAAACAATGACTTGTTGGATGTACAGCACAGTACGCATGGCACTCTTAACTTCCAATCACAAAACTTCTTAAGTCACAAACCACAAAGAGTACCGCTACAGTGGAGAGACCTTTCTTTGATGAAAGCTGTAAGCTGCAGGTCAAAGGCCAAAGGTTGAGGAAACTGGGGTCACACTGACAAATCCTGATCCATGGGATTGGATCCGAAGTTCATTGTGGTCTGTGCAAAGTATAAAACAGAGAGAGGAAAAACTTCAACGTAACATCATTAAGAGTCAATACATATTGTCAAGAAAAAGTTATAAAAAAAAGACTTAGAATAAGCCTTTTGCAAGTTAAACTTTGACCCAAATCTGGTACACTTGAGTTCTTTAAATTCACGTGAACAAACCAACTTGAATTCTCCTTACTAAAATCACTGTTGCTATACCTTGTGATTCAGGGCAAGCTTTTGCTTAATCACATAAGAGACGCCTTGCAACAATACACTGTTCTACATGGATAAGATGGGCACAAAGGAACCAGCCCATTCCAGAGATGGTGGTCGCTATGCGAAAGCTTGCCCCGGATCACGAGGTATAGCAACAGTGTCTTTAGTCTGGGGAATTCAAATCGTTATGTTTATGTGCAGTCAGATAACTGAGTGCACAAGATTTTATTCAAATTTAACTTGCAAATGGCTTATTAGTGAGCAATACTTACTAGCACCTGCCCTCCATTAAGTCGGTCTGGGACTGTACAGGGATTAAAAAGCAAGGTGGTTTAGGCAAATACAATAGACCAGGGAATTCAACTGTGACCCCTGGAAAACTCTCAGAATGCTTCAGGCTCTACTACTGCAGCCGGTTTATACGTATACAGGCAAATCGAAACAAACTTGCTGTCACAAAGCATTTGCGGTGAAAGTTACCCGAGTTGCAATGTGCTCAACTTCTAAAGAATTTGCAGCACAAATATTTTATCTGGTGTCACAATTTTACATTCACGATTCGTAACAAGTATGATTAGGCCTTCACTCCAGTCATCTTCTTTGTCGACAGACTCCTAAAATACATAAACAACAAACCGTCCCCAGGAAGGAAATCTGAACATTTTGACTCCACAAGAAACCAAGGCAACAGTCTATAACAAAGTTGACCTTTGTAGATACAGATAAATCAAAGTCATTTCTCTCAGTCACTTCATTTTAATCAAAACTCCCAGGTCTTTCCACGGGGCAACAATGGCTGCACGTATGATGCAGAGTTTTACAATCCATATTTCAGGTTTTCACTTCTTTTTTCACTTGCTGTTATCCCTGTCAATTAAGCTTTCATGATTAGCGTGATGGCATAAAATGTTGTAAGTGCATAGAGACTGACGACGCCAATAAAAATCATTGTTACACTAACCAGGCACCACTGAAGCCGTGCTAACATACACAAAATTGAAAAGCAGCAGAGAAATGGGAATCCCTTGTTCTATATCTGCATGTACAGGAACTCTGATCAAAAAGCCCGTGGTAAAACAGAACCAATGTTAGAATGTAAATCCTGCACTGTGAATGGCTTCATTTAGTGCAAGATGTACCTTTTCCGTGGGAGATGAGGGGGTGTCCACAGACTTGCGCTTTGTCGACGACTTCCTTTCTCCACAGCATTTCTGCGCATCACATATACTGTTAGGCTTACAGAGTATCTTGCACACACTGTTGTCTAAGAAACCATTACCTGGGTCATCCTGGTTGAAGAAAACGTACAAAAGGCTCAGGGAGTATTCAGGTATCTTCAGTGTTAAAGTCAACTAGACTGGTACTCTGCTTTGCAAGTTTTATCTTGAATGCCATTCTCAGCACATCACATGACAACAAAGAAGTAGGGCTGACTCAATTCGAATAATTCACTATTCAAATATTCGACCTTCAATTTGATCGAATATCAGAATATTCGGTCGTACCAACAGGTAGATTGTTGATGAACAAACTACACACAAAATCAGTTGCAATAACGCACACAATTGTACATTATAATCAATATAATAGCTTTTCACATCTAGGAGTACCTCCAGCCACAATTTAGCAAGATTTAAGAGATGAACGATACTTCTTGCCCAGTTGAAAATTTCTACTCCTTTTAAATTGTTTAATGAATAATATACTTTTTGCATCGTAAGATTTCTGTCACTTTTCATTAAAATCGGCTTAAAACAAGCCTCCATTGCACAATTTCTCCTTTAAAACAGAGAAAATTGTCCCTTCCTTTTCATGAATTTGGCACTTGAATATTCAAATTCAGAAGATAATATTTGAATATTCGATAATTGGTCGAATATTTCGTTATTTGGCACAGCCCTATAAACAAGGCATTGGTACCCTCTGTACTAATGATACAACACTGTGGAACCCAACTGGCTCCAAATGCATGTGCACAAAGTATGACGTCATCAGGGGTTTAGCTTTTGCAAGCTGTTACCTGAGTCAACTGGCAAATTAACAAGGGCATCTGTAGGCAGTGATGATTTGAGAGTTTATTAGAATACATTTTCCTGTTGTAAAGTTGTCTTGGCAGGCAGATACACTGCACGATCTGCTGGTATCTTTCACTCTAATGACCCTGTTTTAGACAATAAGCTTCTTAGACAATATTCTCCAACTGTGAAGATTTCAAAACTCCGTGCAATCTTTGATGGGAGGAGTCAAATGATTTATTAACTTATTTTGGGACGGGGTGCTATACAGGCAAACGGTCTTGTACACTTACTTCGATGAATTCCGGCTGTATCGTCGTGGAGTGGATGCCTTGGTCATGCAGGTAAGACTTGATCTGCTGGGCTACAGTGGTATAATCGTGCATGCTGTGGAACAAGATGTGGGCAGTGGCTATGTACTTGTTGCCAGACAGCTGCCAGACATGTAGTTCGTGCACATTTGCTATGCCTTGAACCTGGTGCAAAAATAAACAAGAGGAGGTCAATGCAAAATGTGCATCAACTACACTCTCTTACAAGCTACAAAATGGTCGGAAAGAAAGTGGACATTGGGAAGATCACGAAGCCTACATGTATGCAGATTTAATACAGCGCTGCCATCAAGTCCTTGTGTAAGTCATGGGTGTGAGTAGCCACTTAAAATTAAAGTTGAAAACATTTACAGCTAAAAGCTGAAATGTAACAAGTTCCCATACTTTTGTACAGACCAGGTGTACAAAAAAGCTGAAATTTAGGGTCAACATTTAACCCTAACCCCGAAGGGTGCATGTAAACTTGTATTGAAATTGGAGGATTTGGGACTGTTAGGGTTAAACAAAAAAAGCTGAAATCAGCTAAAAAGCTGAATTCTCACACCCCTGGTAAGTCGTAAGTGTCGACTCCTTGTCAGCCTGCGTGGAACACACAATATCCGGTAGTACATGTATGTGCAAATGCAACATGCAAGTGTGGGTAGGCATTCGCCACGTTCAGGGGACAAGTTCTTGGGGACATTTCTGAGTCCCCATAACGTTTTCGGTCCCCACAAAATAGGTGAAATGTCAAGTGTATGTTCCCACAACTACGGTGTGGGAGAATGTGCACTTTGTGTGTATTTCCACGTGTCGCTACAGAACTGGCTTCAAACACTTCATAAAAATTGTTAGTGAATTTTCAACAACTTTTGCATTCAAATAGAAGTACACTGCAATCATACACTGAAATCAAATCAATCACTTAGATCAAACAGAATCTGTGTGAGAAGTGTTACAATAGACATGACTGCTCCAATTCCTGAGAAAAAAAATAGCAAAGTAGTCAGTACGTGTAGTTCGAGGATCACCTCAGGAGGCTAGTGTTTACTGAACCACTTCACTCAACCAATTTTTGAATACTGTGCATTACTAATTTTCAACTGAATGTGCACAATCCTGTTGGAATCTTCACATACCCGGTAAGTATTTCCCACACTGTGGCAATGGCATGCAAGTGAATGTGCCACATCTCTGTCACCACTGATAGGATAAGCACGTAGTCCATAAGGCAGTATACAGGAGCGCTAAGGCTGTGCAAGAGGAGTTCTTGGAATACCAGTATGATTTAATTACAATACACAGCATAATAACACAGTTATGCGTCAAAAGTATTTGCAAAAAATAGCATGTCAGGCCCATAAACACGGGCTTGGGATTTGTCGAGCCAGGGAGGCAGACTGCACAGTACACATTCACATTACTGGTACATGCACGTTCATACTCGTCGTCTCGAATGCTGTACCGTTTGCGTTCAAGAAGCTCCTACTTCTATTTCTGATGTTATCCTCAGCAAAGTCTACAAGTTTGGATGTTATGTCAAGCATTGAGACTTGATGTGAAATGGAATTAAACCACAGTGTAGGTACGAGAACTGTAAGAACTTCTGTTGAAGTTTAAGTAATCTTTTCTTAGCCTTTTTTAAATTTTAAATTTTAAATCCCAGGAATCCAAGGGCCTGAAATACATGAACACTCAAGACTCATTGTTTTATTAAGTGACCTAAAATGAAAAATTCATTTGGGATAGCTACATTGTAGGAAAACGGAAATTTATTTCAAAGTGTTGATAAATGATTACAAAGACAACCCATGTTTATCATTAAGGAATAACACACCATTTTCAGCCTTCAAACACAACGTAATTATCAGAGATGCCACTAGCCTATGCCAAAAAAAATAAAAAAACGCACGGTGTCGGTTTTATACGTATTTATGCAGGGGTCTGCGTGCATGTACACAACGTGCATCTTCATCATGTAGTTGGTTATAAAAACAAAAAAGTTCTTTCTTGATCATCACTGGTCGATCACAGTCATGAGTTGCAGCCTACATGTAGGCCAGCCTGCTGTTTTTTTACTCAAAAAGATACAAACATGACGAAAGCTTTCCACCCCATCGGAAGTATGCAGCATTATGGTCATGACGGTAGTCGGTAGGTTTAGGCCTACCTGGCAAATGACGCTTTCTAACATAAGTAAAAAAAAAATCACCACTGTTATCCTTTTCTTTGAGCCATCTCCGCTGAAATTTGTCCTTGACATCTCTTTCAATATCGTGAAGATCCTCATTTCAGTTGACAATTAGATGCTGCATTTTGTCGGGCCCTTTAACATAAAGTCGATCCACGTGTTGATCATCCAATGTACAAAGTACGTTCATTGTGTACGTTCATGCATCGCACATGTCGCATATTTACAAGCCTCAAAGGTCAATATTTAAACATATTTCCAGTCACTGACGACACCACTCAACACAGTCCTTCGTATTTCGCACCACAATATGACTAACGGTAAGCACTCCACTGACGACTGCGCTCAAGATTAAGTACCCAGTCGCGCGGCGCAGGATACATGCGCATCATAGATTTGCTTCCAGTCTTTTCATCTTTATTTAATTCTGTCAATGTTGAAAACGTTGAAGGGGGAAATGTAAAAAAGTCGGATTTGGGGAGAAAAATACCAAAAAGTCGGATTTCCGATTAAAATCGGGAAAGTGGCATCTCTGAATTATGACTCACACTTTTACTCTTATTTGGCAATACAAGTAATCTGACTTGTAATCAGACATGTACTTGTACTCAAAAAGTCTAAAAATTTGTACTCAGAGACCTGTACCTGTACTCAGTTGGCAAAGTACTCAGACTTAAAGTGTACTCAGCGATCTAAGTACTCTGCAGTACTTGGTACTCAGAAGAAGCACCCAACTGCAGCACAATGCCACTGCATAGTCAACACACCAAACCAAAGCTGACAGGGACATACTCAACAACCACAACCATCCACAAGCTACTTACATCTTGCACAAGTTCTCTTTCGATTTGTTTAAGATCGATATCGGTGGGGATGGACTGTAGCAGGATCATACTGGACTGCTTCACTGAAATGAAACAAATCCCGGAACAATTTACCAGCAGTGTTTTAGTAAACAGCACAATGCTGACACTAGTCCAAGAATTTACGGAAAAATATGTCAAGGCTTTAAGGCTGATCGTAGGGCTGTGATTGGATTCATGGAAAGTGTATTACAGTAAGTCTGACATACTGTACTCGTCATAAAAATCAGTAAAAGCAGTTAAGTTTTTCCTTGTACATGTTTACTTTGTATAGTACATTGCAAATTGAAAGTTAAATTAACCCTAACCCTCCTCAATCCTTCACCTGTTGGAGGATTGAGGAGGGTTAGGGTTAATACTATGTATTAGAATGGGAAATTCTGGGAACAGATTTGACTTTCATATTCACATTTTAACAAGGTCTCAAAAGGCATGAAAATGTTTTCCCACTCATAAGAAACGATGTGAAAATGTTTTCTTTCTTGTGGAAAAATCTGGCAAAATCTCTTCAAGACTGAGTGAAAATGTGTGAGAATCTTTTCCCAGTTGGGTGAAAATCAGAGCGGACGATGGCATTGCTTGTTAGGATACACACAAACTAGCATCATGAACAGGAGAGGGCAAGAGGGGTTTGCTTGCCCCTGTCCTACTCCCATCCCTACCCCCCGGAAAAAAATGATAAACACAAAGAACAAAGGGGAGAAAAAGGAGAGATAGAAGACGATGAAAATCAACAATTTGCTTAAAACCTCCAAATTGACCCTTCCATTGTTAATTGTTTATCATTTTCTGAAGCTCATGAGTACTTGAGCACTGGTAAAATCTCCCCCCCCCAAAAAAAAAGTGGTTTCCTCCCCATGGCAAAAATCCAGGCAAAATCCACAGCCACATACATGTACAGTATATATGTATTTTTTTGTCGAGTTATACGTACACCATTCATGGGCCCTACAGGAAGGGGCGGGGGTAAATACATGCATGGGGGGGAGTTAGGGTGCCCAGAGAAGAAAGCATTTGCACAACTCACAGAGTGGAATGGCGGTGATGGTGATAATCGCGACGATGATGAGACTCATGGCTGGATCCACGTAGTGTTTCCAACTAAAGTCTGTGAACCAGATGATCAGGGCACTGACTATGACCACAACTGAGCCCAAGGCATCCCCCAACACGTGGAGGAACACGCCCCTCATGTTCAGGTGACCAGCTGACTTGCCTGCCGAAGGGTAGACACAAAAAGAAGCTTGTTTACAAGAAATGTACCGGTACCCACTCCTGCTGTACATGTGGTAACCACGTCACACTGAGTGACATACAAATATGCAGGCATTTCCTATGTAGAAACACCGAGAATGCAACATGTTCGAAAGAGCATTTTCAGTCACATGATTTTTGATGATTAACATTCAATTTACCTGGATGTGAGCAGAAACACGCGCAACTTCAAACTCTCTCCACATTCTGCCATACATAAAATTGTCAATGGAAATACACAGATTCGAAAATGCATGCGCTTCTATGGGCATGGCACACTTCCTAAAATGTCTTTGCCTGTCATGTTACATGTATGTCACGTGAAAAACCTCTATATGCTGCATAACATCTACACACTTGATTGATTTCCACTGAGTTGGTGCACAAACACACGGAGGATGTATACCACAGAGGTTGAGTGTTTGAGGAGCCCTTAGGCAGCCGTGGGCCACGGACGGGGAATTGCATCAAATACGGCTCCAGGAACTGTCTTGAGAGTTTTAAGACAGTGACGATGCAGTGGGAGAGGTCACACAAATGACCGTCACGGATCAGCATCGGTTCAGTCCAGCATTGTAAAGGACTGCAACTGTGATATCTTGTTTCAAAAAAGTTACGTTTCTTGGCCAAAAGTAATACTGAACCCGGGGACAAGTTCAATGTGGAGTTACACCGTCTGTAAAATTCCCCAGTCATTTTGAGCAGATGGTCTCCCTGTCCTACGGTACATGTACCGGTACCTACACGTACTGGCCCTGGTGCCCTCTATCAACAGAACCTGCTGTAAATGTGACCAAATTCAATGAAAGGAAAACGTCCTGCTACATGTACCTGCTGCATTTGAGGTGGTGTCGGCATCTGCCCCTTCCTCCACTGCAACCTTCACATCTGCCACCTGATTGGTCGATTCATGCTCCAGCCGTTGGTCAGAGTCTGACAGCCGCTCATCCAGCTGCTCGAATTCAGGCTCGTCCTTCTTCTTGGGCTTGTGGCTATGCCCTTTGGCTTTGCCTCCACCGTGACTGTGCCCATGGGACATGCCTTGTGGAGGAAACAATTACCATGAATAAACTTTATATAAAATGATACGTCCATAATGTTCTATTCATAGCAGCACAGCACATTCAGAGGTCACAGTTCATAATCAAACATCTTGTTGTCAACTGGATGCCTGTTTTGAAGTTGAACAGTTTTGCTTTGTACATGTACATTTTATTTTTCACCAGTGTTAACATGATGTTCCACTCATCAAAACTTTTCAAAACGCCAAATTCTCCTATTTTTAGATCATCAGCCCCAAGGACAAAACTCAGTTCCCTCCAGAAGAGGTTTAATTTTTGTTTCAAAATCTGCTTTTGAAGTTACAAGCTTACCAAATTTTATTCTGAAATGAATTGATGAAATATAGAAACACCGTTATCTCAAAATCTGTGAGTTTCACAATGTGACAGGTGATATAAATGGGTAAACTTCACATGTACACAGAAATACATGTACATGTATGGAGCTGCTTGGAGCTAAAGGATCCAAATTCAGGGAACCTCAATTCAAGAATCTGAAGACAAAGTCAGGAATAAAGCTGAGATCGGAAATCAGTGTTCCAGCTAAGACTATTTTGGTGCCGGGTAAATTTTTGGATTACAAAGCATAGTGAGCACAGTTCTTAATGCTTTCTGATGCTTGAAATACGATCGAATTGGTACATTTAAATTTTCAGTAATATTTCAGTTCATTTTTGGGAAAATCCGTGCTGGGTGGCACAGCCAATTTCAACCCTGAGTGCCGGGCGGAAATTTGCAGTACTGGGTGGTGCTGCCCACTGTGGCTAGAACCCTGATCAGAAAACAGCCCTCAGATATTACTTCTTGCTCGGTTCTGTCATCAAGACTTAGAAGTACAGTACAGGTCAGAATTTTAGCCGACACGCAAACACGCTTAGCGTGTCAGCATGTATCGAGTCAAACAGACACGAAAGGAGTTAACCACAAACATGAAATACGCTGACCCCTGCATAACAGAGAACGCTGCCACCGCAATCCGATCTGCTGTTTGTTGACCGGTGCAGTCATTTTCCAGGTTTCCCACAACGAAAAGTATTCCGTTTGACTGCAGCTCAAGTTATCTTCAAATCCCATGGAAATGTTCTCAGTAGTTTACCTGGCATGTAGCAGGCATCACAAAATCATTTTCAAAGATAAAGCGTTTTGTTTGTCCATACAGGATCAATGAAAGTGGTTAATGTCTGAATTGCTCCAAATACTTCTGAATCAGGCACAGAAAATATTTGAGCATGAAATCAATTTTTCAACCGAGACAACTATACCTAGCAAAAACTAGAGAAAACTAATTTGTAAAATTTGCAAAACATAAATGGGGGTTAAAGTAAAGACAGCCCCTACGGCGGCGAGCCTAGCCTACACAAGTAGTTATTGCCGTACTCGGGCTCAGTGTGTTCAAATTTGCGTGAATATAAATTTGATGTGAGGTGGGGATTTTTCCTATCAGTTTTCGATCTTGGAGCTGGAAAATCTACCAAAGGAAATCACTCTGATTGTGACAAAATTATGACCAAACTAAACGGCAAGATCGTACCAAAATGAAAGGAAGTTGGGTCTTCACGTGCAACGTGCATGCACCGGCTTCACACGACAGACAAAGTAGCAGCCATGTGAACTTCATAAATATGCATATCGTGTAACATAAAAGGGCTGTAGCTTTGCATTTGTTGACGCTGCATCAAAATGAATATGCAATACACTTGTTTTAATTTATGATCAAAGCACTAAGGTGGTTGTAGTTTCATGATTGCTTGGTCATGGCATGGTTGCATTACAATGTCGTTACAACAGATGAAAAAGTCAAATAAAATTTACTCAAGTTCAATTGGTGTTTTATTTTTTATTTACTGGAATTCTGATACATGAACTAAATTTCCATAAATTAAGAAATACAACACTGTACATGTACTTCATTGTAAAATCAGCTTGATGTAATAGTTCTGGCTGAGGAATGGATTTCTTCTGTGGTTACTGTTTATTTGTGAAACAGTTTCTCGTGGAATTGCTTAAAAATAAAAACCGATGTAGCATTTAGCAGCAAGAAAAGCGTCGTGGTCACACCAGGCGATCCTGTGAGTTTAAAATTCAAAACTTAGCATTTAGGAAAAAAGTATCTGAACATACACGGTGGACTACTGGCCAGTTTCAATGAAATATGACATTTTTCAAGATGTAATCCGACTGAACAACGTTCGACTAATAATAGGGGCACCATTGTTAGACAGACTTCTCAAAAGCTTTCGACCTTTAACCCTAACCCCCCAAGGGTTGCTGGCCCTAACCTTTCTCATTCACACAAAGTTAAACACCCATATGGGACTTTGTGCTCAGAGGCTGTTGGACTTTGTTTTTCTGAGGTATGCCAAACCTAATGCAAAAGCCAGCTGTCTGGGCCTACCAGACCTATCCCTGCAGAATTAAACACTTGACTACTGTGTAATTCTGTGTGGTTGGGGAAGGTTAGGGTTAATTTCTTAAGTTAGGGGTAAGGGAATCAATTATTCCCTGGATTTGCAGCAACAATGTGTCAGATATAATCAGACATTATCTGAGTTCAAAAAACCCGGAGGAGGTCTTCCACAAGGTACCTAAATTGGTCCCATTGGTTTTCAGTGCTTTATCAACGATTTTTCGCCAGATAATAATGTTGGTAAATGGAAATATGTGGATGACTTAACTTTAGCCGAGAACTGTCCTAGTTCTGTTACTGGTAATCTTCAAATTGAATTAGATCACTTTGTTGAGTGTAAACAAACTGATAACCTTATTCCTCCTGTAAGGAAAAACATTCACGGCAGGGAATTGCGCAACTCTCATTCATTGCTACCCCGTAGGACTAATCGATTTAAGAATAGCCCTATTCCATTTTACATTAATCTATTAAATTCATAATTAGAGAATCTATACAGGCCTTCTTGGGGCTTACAATAGAGAAATCATACATAGTTCAACCCGCTGAAGTAGGTTTGAGCTACATGTTCTCTATTTGTCTAAGTGTTTATTTGTTCCAATTTTTATAATTATGATTAGTGGTTAACGTGTTTGTCCTTGCTATTTTTTTAATGTAATTTTAGTGTATTTTACATGAATTTTAATTAGTGTGTTTAGAGGTTTCAGAAATTGTAAATCATGACTGGTGTTTTATGTGGTTGTACTTGTTATTTTTTTGATGTACTTATACATTTATATGAATTTTAATTAGACCCTGTAACATTCTTGTAATTTGGCTTGTTGGGCTACGATAAGAATGAAATGAACTAAATGAAATGAAATGAAATGAAATGAAATGAAATGAAATGTAGTGTATTTGTATTTATGAAAAAAGTACACACACAAGTACTAGGCAAAATTCAATGTTGAAATCACAGCCATTATGAAACAGTCTTCGAGCTTCCCCAAATGCTCCACTGCACCGTGTGTGCAATGAGGTTTGGTACCCAGACACAAGTGTATTTTATGGTTTATATATGTACGCATTTTCCCTTGTATGGAAAGGTGCCCTGCTAAATGCACAGCGTGCTTAATACACGCAAGTTTGTACATGTCCATACATGTACGTAATGATGAAAACAATCATTGTAGCCACATAGCTGTATACTTTTTACCACTTTTTGTAAGCTTTTGTGAAGAGGAAAAAAATCAAATCAAAGGCACATTTGCTGACTGCCATTCTTGGCCACAAAAACCGGACACTTTAATTTTTAAGGAAAAAGTACCTATCCACCAGGCAATTGGTCCTTACTTTTTACTTGCCTGAAACGAAAGAAGAAATTTGTCCTGGCCAATCAGAAAACCGTGAATATGGAGGCCTGTCATGGACATTGGTTTTCCTCCTGCCATTATTTTCTGGTCCTCTGCTGCACAGCAATAGCTGCACATTGTGAGTTAGAATGGGTCCTCAGGCACCACAGAGAAATCATAGCAAAATTCAATTTTGTACTCTTTTAGAAGGGGGGAGGGAGGCCAGGAAAAGGAGCACCCTTTGCACGCTTGTAAAAATGATGACAAAAATGGATTACCTCTAATGTACATGTATACATTTCAAGCAGAAGTACAGTAGTCCCAAGCTTACCGTGTGTGCTGAAGAGGCACAGGCCGATCCCGTTCACCACCAGCCCCACAACCCCTACGATCAGCACAAGCATGGGATTCTCGATCTCCTCCTTGACGATGAAGCGCTGGATGGCCTCCACAAAGATGGTGAAGCTCAGGGCCATGAGGAAGACAGCATTAACCAGGGCACCCAGCACCTCTGAGCGCTGCCAGCCAAAGGTGTTCTTGGGTGTAGTTTTCTTTGACACCTGGGGATTTTGCACAGGAAATGTACATAAAGCAGGACTTAAAGGAGTCGTGAAATGGGTTTTATGACTTGAATACATGTACACTAGGAAAACTTTCTTGTGATGTTAGTAGGAATGTCCTTCTTCTTAGGCAAAGATTTCTTTGACAACTGCAGATTTTGCAAGGCATTTTCTCACAAATATTTTCAACAAGGAAATTTCGGGTCACCTACTGAACAAAAACTCTGAAAAAAAAATCAGGATCTTCCTACAGGTACTTACTTTTTCCGTTGGCGTGCTCAATTCATGCAGGCCAACACTCGTGAGGCCATGAATTTAAAAAAACATAACATCAAACTTCCATGATAAATGGACATGATGGACATGTACTGAATCAAAACTTTACATCTGTACTGATATTGAGTGTATTTGCATGTATGCTAAGTTTCAACACAATCAGGCCTGTGATAGCTGAATTCACGAGGGCTGGACTTGGAGATTGGGATGCCAGTTTTGTTTCCAATTCTGTGTTGAATGACGTCACAAATTACCATGAAGGTTCAACCAGGCCATTTACTGGCTCCCCCAGAAAGTCAGCCAAGAAAAATGTAAGTACTGCCAACAAAATGTCCAAGAAGTTAAGAACCTCATTTGAAGTCAAAAATGAACCCAAGTAAATGTAGCATCCTCTGTAGTCTGAAGCAATATACCATGTACATGTAAGAAGGTTCTGGAACCAACACTACATGTAGGTTCTGCACTAAGCTTGGGCAGTATTTCGGTATTACCGAATACTGCGTTTTTTACAAATACCGAACAATACCAACTAACAATCCATGAACATCGGAATACCGGCTAATTCGGTATCAAATTTCAATACCGTAGTACTCTGGCTAATTTGTTCAGAATGTTCGCACAGTCCTCTTAAGATGAAAGCAGACAATTATATCCACAACAGTGACTACATACTTTGTGGTTTCAGTCATCCAGCATCACGTTTGTATTGTCTCTTTTGGTGGGGAGATAAGACATAATGACTTTCAATTACCATGGATGACGACAATGACGAAGCTAACACTAACTGAACTGCATGCACATGTAGGCCTGTGTGCACTTGCAAGAATGTGAAGGCTCATCAACTAAAGCCCCCATCCATGTAAGTAGTCTTTCCAACACAAATTGTATCACAGAGAGATATTATTTAATTTTCCGTCTGTCTTTTGATTTTCGACACTAAGCTGCTCGATAGTCTCATTGATCAATAGTCTGAGATCACTCATCCACTGCGGCGTGGCCGCCCGCACGCGAGACGGTCGCTGAAGAAGTATGATATCATGAAGGAATATTGCGATTGGATAGCTGTGTCTTGCCAAATGTACTTCATAAAAACACACAGTCTCATTGGTGGGTACCCTAGATCTTTTCGCAGAAATAATAATAATTCAGTGTTGGACGATAAGTTGGACTCGTGAGATGCGAGAATAGTCAAGCGAACTTATTTGGGGCATATTTTTATTGGAAATGGGATGAGAATTTTTGTTTTGGCATTTGTGTAATCAATGTAAAATATAATTTAATCGTGCACTACGTGTGTCACAATGACAGGAAACTGGCAAACGAGGTCTGTATATCGCATTGTAAGCGTGCGTGACGCATCTGGAGGGGCGGGCGATAAGCCTCGTGCTGCGGCTAGAAATTCTGTGGAAACACGCTCGCTTGAGTACAAGCAGTACAACCTCAAATTAAATTCCTGAACACAGAAAACACAAAGAGACAGGGGATCAATTTTTGTAAATGAACCTGCAGAAAAAGTTGTGATGGCAGTTTTTTTGACTTTCAACGGTAGAGCTGCATTTGATGTAGTGGAATGTACAACCATTTCTGGGCAGAAACTGTACATTAACTGGTTGCCGCATTTCCATCATGCCTTTGTTGGCAACGGTTCGGCCCGGCGGGAACCAGTGTGGTGCACTGCGCATGTGTTTTCACCACTGCGATTCACAAAGGCTTTATAAATGGGTCGTCCACAAAGGTTTTTCAGGCAACGGAGTCACGAAAACCTTTCGTTGTACCAGGAATTTGGTACAATGCGATGTCGCTGTAACAGATTTTCTCCCCATACAAATGTGCATGTTTTCGCCGGGACCACAGATTTGTGTTTGTTATAATCAGAATTTCGTTATAACCAATTTCATCATAACGAGAGTCGACTGTACTTGCAATACCGGCCGCGCCGCAGAGTTTTCTGGAAGCCACCTTTTTATTGTACACATGCAGTGTTAGGGCGCAGCTAAGAGGGGCAGCCACTGGTGACCAGCACGTTATCATTACAATAATACACTGTCTCAGCGAGTACCAACTTGACTGTAGTACATGTCCCGTGCAGATTGTCACACAATAGGACATACGAATCAGGGAGCAATGAATCGGTATTTAAAACACCGTTCAGTTTTTATTATTCTTTCACATATAAAATATTTATTTGACATCAAATAGAAAAATAATTTATAATACTTATTAAGTTTTATGGAGGTTTTGTGACGTTAAAAAACCCTTTATGCTGGCCCCTAGTTTTGTTTGTGTTTTGCCACTGAATGTCACCATCACTGCTGCTTTTTGATGACGTAATGCCTTCTGCAATGAATACCACGGTATTTTTTCCACGGATACCACAGTATCGAATAAGGCAATACCGCCCAAGCCTATTCCGCACAGTTCAAGATTTTGAAAGATTTGGGGGGGGTTCCTAACAAAGGGATAATTAGACTGGCTACTCACTCTCATTGCCAGAAAGCCAATGATCAGCGCAATAATGTCAGATAACATATGGAAGGAGTCGGAAACCAGGGCCAAGGAGTTGGTGACGTAGCCAGTGATGAGCTCCACTAGGAAGAACGAGGTGGTCAGTGAGATCATCACCATGAAACGGCAGCTCTTCCCTGTGTAGCGCCCCATGGTTAGGCTGGTCCGTCCCTAGACACTCTTGGTTGAAAACTAGAAGAGGAAACAAGTGACACCTGAAACATTACCAATCAAGAAAGGGTTGTTTGAAGCTTTGTTTGGCAAAGTAGTATACAGGGAAGTATTTCATTCTAAAAAAAAATTCTTGTATAGACGAATCCACTGGCGTTTCACTTGACACTCCTGAAGTACCCCTTGAATAGCATAAGCAATGTGTTGGCTTTTTACAGAGCGACTGTTACTGAACTGTGCTTCCGTACAATAACTGTTATAATCTTTATCGCTGGGGTCACTGCAAACAACCAGTGATGGCGTTACCGTGGCCACTGAAATATACAAGATAGGCAATGATTGAGATTTCAAAATGATAGCAGAGCAAAGGTCAAAAAAGTATTTGCCTTTCGAGACTACCGAGACAGTAAGCACATATTAAACCATAAGGTCACACTCGTAGTTTACTCCCAATTTCTTTCATACATGTACATGTGCATGTTAACTTACATGTACATTAACATTTATGGCAGGCATACTGATATAGAACAGTCCTTGAGCCTTAGCACAATATCAGACTACAAATTCTAGTGAAAACAGCTGCTGGACAGCGAAACACATGTACCAGTACATTCTACATGTACAACTTGCCCAGTGGGCTTCGTGAAGAAACACATACTGGTACATGTATTCTAGCTGTCTGAAACTCTGATTTGTCATCTGTAAAAGGCAATTTTTCAGCAGAAAAGTGCGGATAAGACTGTGGCAAACTATGGTATATAGCCACCAAAAATCCGCTGACACAGACATTCACATCACTGATCATTATGTTACTTTATACCGGTATACTGGCCTCCATGTACAATAAGCACAAACAAACATGCCCCATGCACCTGTGAATCCTGTTTGTACTATGGCCTTGTCGTCATGCCGTACATGTACACGCACACAGCACTGATTGCAAGCTTCCATTGGATGAGCACTCAAGTTGTGCATTACTTTCCTGTATTATAGCTCTACCTGTGTGTGCAGTGGGCATAGTTTAAACTGAAGGGACATCACACTTATGAACTGGATACAAGTTGACATGGACACAAGCTTACCTAGGGACCTGGATACAATTTAACTTAGGAGTAATTTTTGGGGTATATGTATGTATTAACCCATGTACATGTACGAGTTGACTCATTTCGACATGTACAGTACCAGGCCTTTACCGCGGCCACCACGGCCATTGGCTACGTGCCCTTCCAAGTTGGCTGTAATGCCCTTCCAAAAACTCACATCACGAGGCCACCTTGGCCAGCGTGCCCTTCCCCCTTTGCAGCCGGCTGTATGTGTAATGAGAGTGTACCATGTAAGCCAATGCATGCAGTGCAATTCCGAGTTGGGGCGAGTTGAACCTTTTGGGCTGCGTTCGAGCGAGCTGCTCGTGCTAACCCGAGTGCTATCCCGAGTGCACGAACGGCAGGAGTCCCGTCCTCAGGTCAGTGAGAGTATACTTCCCATCAATCACAGAGGATCAGGAGTATACCCCTGACCCAAGTGTAATGCGTGCGCATCCGCACTGGGGTTATCGGGAGTAACCGCGCGAACGCAGCCTTGGATATCATTATCAGCGCTGCACCGGTGAGCAGCGTATTTTGAAAGCAAATTTGCATACCTAAGTCGGAAACCAGGAGAGTACTTATTGTGCATGTGTTAAGAATAAGTTTTGACCATTTGCTAGGCCTAGGCTTGTATCTCAAAACCATGCCGTCACGATCAGATGATCGTATAAAGAAACGCTAAAAGGATGCTTTCTTACGGGAGGGCTGAAAGTGCCAGAAGCTTGAAAACCTCTTTTTCAGAAAAAGTAGGGATCAAGTATTTATAAACTTGTAAACTCCAGCAAAGTTGGCACTCAGTCTTGACTCGAAAAAATAATGACTTCTAAATGCCGACGTGCTGCTTGCCGACTTATGTGGCTTGCTGCCGTAATACCCTCCATATAATGCATTGCACCAGTTTAATTGCTTTGATCTGCCCTGGTTTATTTATTATCTCCACTGTCGATTCAGGTAAGTTTGTCCTCGATTGTGATCATTGCTACCGCTCCGTCCGTACTGAGGACGACCCGTGCATGCTGTTTGTACTGACATAATGCTAGCACATCACACAGCACAAATGTCATGCACCGGCGCCGCGCGTATATGCACGCGGGATCTTGGGGGGGCGGCCGCAAGTAAAACTTAGTTCAATAGGGCGACCCCCAAAAAGGGACAGAGTGCATGCGCCTGCACTAGAGGGGGTACTGGTATTGATGCAAATATTGGGGAAACCCCTTTGTGGTCGCGCTCGCGCCCACACAAAATGTACACATGTAGGCCTACTCCACGTCAGCATCGACAACGAAGCTCTGGAAATCGATTGTTTGTTTACAGCCCACTTTATACCGACGATTTTTTTTGTGGATTTGCGGAAAAGGAACCGAAAGAACATGCCAACTTGAACGAAACGACAGCTTATAAAGCCCACTTAAGAATTATCAATGAAAATGCATCAACACATGATCGGTACCCTTATCAAAAGGCCGACTTACGAGTTGCACGATGCCGACTTGACCCAGAGCTTTCCGTAACCATTTAGCAAACAGTAAACATTTTAAAAGGATCCCCATTTCTTTTAAATAAAAGGATAAACACTATTTATTATATCTAAACTTAGTTTAAGCGGGTTGGGAATCCTTGCATTCTAATGGGAAAGGGATACAAAATCTAAGCAAGCATTAAATCAGAGGCTGGATTCGCAAGGAAAAAATTGTGTGGGTAATTGTAATTAATTTAACATGAACATTACATTTTTATACAGTGAATGTGACAAATAATAGCAGCATGATAACGCTTTTTATTGAAGGGGGATGACATGGTGTACAAGAACTGAATAGCTTATAGGTCTACTCATGACATGACTGGTTGTCAAAAATGTAAATCAAAGGTTTCCAAATAATTGGCCTTGGTGCCCCCTTGAGCTGGCCTGGTGCCCTGTTGAAATTTAATGAAGGCAAGGCCAAAGAGGCCTGCTCCTTTTTTCCCCCAAGATCAGGCCTGGAGTACGCACACGGATAAATGGGTTCCATTTGTTACACACTATCACTAGGGCAAAGGTCATTTTTGTGATGCTTCAGGAAAAACCCGTGGGTCCATGCCTTTACATTTATACCTGTATCTCCAATGCAATACATGGATATCAAGTTATATGTACATGTACATGACAAATGACCACTTGTATTTTAGAAAATGCCTTCAAGAACACATTAATGAGGTCCTTCCAATGTTTCCTTCCACTCTTAATAAAGTCATGTAAAACTAAATTCCTTGATAAACATTATGAACTGTTTTTGATTGGGAACAGTTAAAAGTTTAATCTCTGCTGTTTCCTCCAATGATTTTGTGTTTGTTTTCAAAGAACAATCGAAAAGAGAGGTGAGTTGCGTCACACCATGCATGCCATGTAAAACAAAGTCAAAATGGCTACGGGCTGGTGCTCTAAACAATGCTCTAGGGATGACACATGGATGGAAAATTTCACCTCTCAAAATGGGACTCATAATGCGAACATTTCTTTAAAAGTTGGTGCTCAAGTGGACTTTTAAAGACAAACAAAAGGACGGCAAACAAACTTGTAGGATAAGTGGGGGTATTTTCAACCAGGAGAGTTTGACCCTTTTTTCCCCACATAACCTACATGTACACAACTGGTTGAATTTCTTGCTGTTGTTATGTGGGTGAATACCCCCTGCCTTTTTTCTGTTGGTAACCTGTTGGTTGGCAGAAGCACGTACAGAAGCATATAAGGGCCACTTGCAAAACATTTTTTTTTGGAGTCATTTTCTTTCCTCGGCAACTTAAAACATTGAATGTGTATCTCACTGTGGCGAGTTGTAAGATCTTGCCACGGTGTAAAATTGAAATCCCATCACCGCAAATAAGTAATTTTGTAAGTCCTATTAAATTAAGCATGTCATTGTTTTCAAATGTAGTCTTCGGAATCCAGTGGAATGCAATGACATTAGGTTTTAGAATGCTTGGAACAAAAGGAAATGTTACATTTCAATAAAGCTTGATTTCCAAAAAGAAGGTGCAACAAAGTAATTTCCTTTTCGGAAGTGAATTTTACTTCAGATGAGGGGTAGGCTAGTTTTAATTCCTTCTTACAGTTTCCCAAGAACTAAATTTCAAAGTTACACTTAAACTGTCAACAGTCAAAAAGGTTTTGAAAGGTCAGACAATAGGAGAGTTACACGTAATTTGTTGCATTTATATGGAAAATATAAACAATTACAAATGCAACACATAAAATACCTCACAGCTTTGGATGCTGAAAGCATTTCAGGTTACTTATTACCCTAATCCTGCGTATACCGGTACATTCATTGCACACATCATGCACACTGCGAAGTGTCGACCCGTGTTCAAAATATCAAAATGAACTTCATCAAATAAGCGTTCGCCAAAATGCTGTTTTTGCCCTTCTCAGTGCCCTGCTACCGGTATGGGTGGTTTTTTTTTGGTCGACTTAAACTAGTGCTGCAAGTAGGTGCCAAGGTTTGTTTGGGGTTTGGTTCAGACACGGTTCGGACATTTTCTGCTGAACTTCAGTTCGGTCTGGGTTCGGACAGGTACACTACACTAGTTTGTTCAGGAGTTAAAACTCCCTAGAAAGTTACTGTCGCAGGTGTGACAGTTCCCGACCGTGTTTTACAGACCAAAGCGGTTGTGTTTGGACGACACTTGGCTCAATAAAATGATCGTACATGTAGGTTATGTGAAAAGTTCTCAAATAATTAGACAATTTCTCAAAAATGTTTGGTATTACCAGTCATGCCAGTAGGCCTAAATGTCGTAAGCACACATGTACATCATGTAGCTGTGATGACCACTTTTGGCCAAATACTTTTCAGTCATGTCAGTTGTTACATGTGTTAGGAGTAGGCAGGCCAACCAATCCTACTCTAACAGTGTCTGCATTTGAAAAAACAAAGGATTTTGTGTGGTGACACAACAGCACAATACCCCAAGAAGGGTCCGACTGTGGGAGCGGAGCAGACCTCGGATGGGGGTAGTCGGACCCCATAGTTCTGGGGGTAGCGACACAATGTATGATAATATTTCCCATTGACTGTCAATACCAGGAAATATCATGTCAAAAGTTGCACTATCCTTTTTTAAAGCTACGTCCATGGAGAACTTATTCCTCTAAATTTATACATAGGGACAGCATGATCATGATGTACATGTACGCAGACTAGGCTACAGATGAATGGTCACGAAATGGAGCTATATGTGCAATCACACGTATGAAGCCAAACCACGGTTCACAACCATGCGCAATGCATGACATCTAGATGCTCAACCAACCATAAAAACGTCATGTGTGAAATTAGGCTCCTATAACATTCAGGCTTTATTTTCCTTTAAAAAGGAACACAATATCGAACCGGGATTCGAACCCACACCCCATGCATCACAAACCATTATGCCGTAACCGCTTGACTACCGCAATTCACACAAATTGATGGTGTTTTTACTGTTGATATACTGATGAACGGCTGCAACGCTAGTCTAATAAACATTGGGCATGCGCAATACAAACACAACCACCATGGTCTGGCTTCATACTGTTGCTTGTTCGCCGTCGAAACAGGCAAATTAAAGGGCAGTCACACAGATCTATATTTCACAGCTGGTTTAATTCCGGGCGCGGATCCAAGCGGTCCAAGGTCAGAACACGAACTCTCTATAGATACAATCTAGCGTGGCTATTTATACAGGTTGGGATTGTTTTTACAAAGTATTAATAACAAAACATTCCATCATAACATTTACTAATAAGTCACATAAGATAGAACAAAACAGTGTGCCACGTAGCGAACATTAGTGTCTCACGCTCACTGCAAGAGGGCGCTAGCGCAACCAAGCAAGCAAGTGCGCGCTGTTTACATGTGGTTCTGATAGTGCACACGCAGCAGTAACTCAACTGTGCACTGTCAATGCATGCTGGAGATGCGACGTGAGCGAACTAAAAATCGCAGAGCGCGCTGTCTGGTAATAATACCAGAAATAACCAATAATCATTAACTAATAATCAATCAACAGTTCATGTTGAGTAATTTCACAATACGGATGGCTGCATATATGTCTCCGACATGACAATAAAACTGCACAGTCAGCTGGTCAGTAGGCCTAAAAACAATACTACTACTACTACAATCAGCCTACCTGCAGCAGTGCTTAGCCTTCAACTTTCTGCTGTAGGCCTAAACCTGACGACTATGCTTATGGAAACGGGCTCCAAAATTAGGTCCAAAATCCACGTTTTTAACAGCTTCACATCAACCGAAAAAAGTGAAACTGAAGCTGTTTTCGTCTTCGAGTTTCTGCACGGTTTTCTTCGATTTTGCAGACCGCACAGCGCTGACAGTGCCGGCCGTAACGACGTTTTTCAGCACGGCACGTTTTTCTTTGCGCACCGCACGAAAAATGGTGCACACAGCATGAAATAATTTGTTGAATTATGCAATACATGAACATTCGAGTCCATTTCGTTTACAAATAAATTGCAATGATATTACGTCACTTTGCATTTTTATTTTGTTCTGCATGAGAATAAAATTTCGACCAAAAAAAGGAAAACACTTTTTCAAATTTAAGTCGTGTGCATGATTTCAGGACAGCGCACAAGTTCAATCGTACGTGTACTCACATTGCAACAGCTGCGGCGGACTAATGTTAAATGACTAGTGTCCGAATTATTTAACTTGGCTTGCGGCTAGCAATTACGCATGACTAGTGGGAACCGGCTTCGGCCATTACCATAGGTTGGTGTGTAATTTCAAGCCGCAGCCACGTGATTTGGACACACTCTTGCAATTAGTCGGATACCATCGCAAACTATTTTCAAATAATTTTACGGTGATATCTAGGGTACAAGACCTCTGGATTGGATTACGGCTGTTTAGCGGTTTAACTCTGCTTCAACGAAAACACGGGTTAAAAGAGGAAACGAATGAATCAGCCGTTGACAAAGGGAATTATGCGGATAATTGCAAAGGAACTTGAGTGTCGCCTGATTCTGGAATTCGGTGAACCAAAACTTTCCATTTCAAATTTCTTTCTGGAATTTGTTCATACGGACGACCTGTTTTGTTTCTTAAGGGTGATGGTAAAGAGGAGGGTTTTTCCACATAAGAGTCTGGAGAAACCAGGCTAGCTGGGTCGTTTCAAAATTCCGGTGGTTTTCATCATGTTCATGTGGATCCCATATCCACGAGTCACCATAATTCGCACAGACACACTTAGTACTTTGGCCGAAATTTCGTTCTTCAATATACTAATTTTTATGGCTTCATTTTTAGTAGTTGAAAGTTTGCCTAATCTATCAAAATAGGGAATAACATTATGAAGAACATCGGATGTTACCGAAGCAACGGGAATGATGTCGTCGTCTGTAAACGGGTCGGATCGGCTGTAGCGAAACCTATATCACTATTATTTGCAAACGTCATTTTGTGGGGTATCGGTAATGCCTAATTTCTGAAAAATCTACCTGTTCATATATCTTGATGAGGAATTTTTTGGATTAATTACTTTGGTTTGGTGATGCAGTTTGAGGGAAAAGAAACTGTTATCAGCAGCTCGACTTCCCATACTTGGTACTTACTTGGTACTTGGCTAGTTTCCTCCTGAAACATCCTCTAAGGATCTTAACTAGGAGGTCAGGCAAGTTCCCAATCACTGTCCCCTTTTCGTTCTCCTAGACTGTTTTTTTCAATTTAAGTTGAAGTTACAGTGAGGCATGAATTTTTCTTCTAGCAAATAAATCATAATTAGCATTACCATGAGTTATTTATATGGATGTTACGAAAAAAACACTCCTTGCATGTGTCGTCGCCAACAGGAATCTCAAAATATAAGGTGCACAGTAGTTTTTCGGGCTCCGTATTTTTGATGAAGCCCTCAATATTTGGCGAAAGTTGATCGAAGTCGTCATTAGTGCCCGTATTAGGCGTCAAACATCGATCGTGAACAAACAGTGATCATTTATCCATTTTCTAGACAATTTCAATCGGTTCTTTTTTATATTGAGTCTGTAAAGTAAAGCTTTATGCTCTGTTGACATTTTTCTCGACTTCACAATGAAAAAGCTTTTAATTCGCACATAGCTGCAAAAAAAGTCGAAGTGACAATCGATCATTGACAGTAAATTAACGTCGGTGCATAATTTCATTCAAGAGTTTCACGACGAGAAAGTTGGATGCGTACGGAAGCCGGATAGTGCCAGGGTGAATATGTTTTGCGTAGGGAGTTGTTATACTTTTTTTTTTTACAAATTATGTGGCGGCCGCCACATAATTTGTCAAAAAAAGTATTACACCCCCCTACGCAAAAAATATTCACCCTGGCACTATCCGGCTTCCGTAGATGCGCGAATAGTTTGTATGCACGAATTGAAAAAAATTGAAGGCAGGTGAAGTCCTAGATAAACAGGGGAATCTTCCACGGGGTGTGAAGACCAGTCTCGTCGAAAATTGCAAGTAACCCATTTCCCCACTGGAAAGTACACGCCCCGGTGGGTCCCAGAAAAACGCGTAGGTAAGGTACGTTGCATTGGTACGAAAGCCTAAACGTGCCACTGACAAAAAATAATCAGTGGGAAACTAATTCGTAATAACGAATTACTAATTACAGATTACTAACACTGCTCGTAATAACTGATTATAAAATTTGTAACAACGGATTAGTAATTCGTTATTACGAATAAGTAATTCGTTACCGCAAATTAATTTCTCACTGTTTTTTTGGGGGGGGTCTGTGGCATGATTGGGCTTTCGTACATTGGCGGATGAGATGGGGAACTCGTGTACAATTACATTCTTTCTCCATGATGTATACATGTAACTGGGGCCATAACCATTTTAAAGAAATGTATATTTTTGGAATTTGAAAGGCACTGTGGGGAGTGTATCATTTCCCAAATCGTACAAAAAGCCCCCAAATAAAAAAATAAAACTACTGCCGGTAAACAACTTTTGTAAAGGGGAACAACAAAATTTTGATGAAGGAACAACCATTTTTGTTGAGTGAACAAAGGAAACAACCAATTTGTGTAGGGAAACACAAATTTTTTCTAGGGAGCAATAATTCTTGCGAGAGAAAAACAGTTCTTGTTGAGGGAACAATTTTGTTCAGGGAACAACAAAATTTTGGTAAGCTGCAACAACTACATGTAGGTCAGGAGGGTTTCCCACGCCGCACTACACATGCACTACTGTTGCTTTAAACACACCCCACTGGGCAGAGTCTTCATGTCTGTTGATAAGGGCTTTCTTCCCACCCTATTGACAACTGCCTAGTCTCTCTGTAAATTGTCCGCAGTCGCAGTGTGTTGTTTCAATGTCTGCTTTCATAGATTATAATTGTTCCCTCAACAAAATATTTTCTTCGCCGACTTTAGTTTTTGTTCATACAACGTCCCTTTAAAAACCACCGTAGCTCGCAGTGCGTTGGGGGAGAAAACAAAGCGGTACTTTTTGTGAATGCTGGGATGTAAACTGCAGCTTAATTATACAAATTTCGCTCGTGGTCCAGGGCCTGTTCTGGTGCTGGACGACGAGCGCAAAGATACGCCGGATGAACAGTGGCCTATGTGGGAGGAAAGGGGAACGATGTTGACCCCGGGTATATGTTGTTATTTTTAACGAATCAAGCATGCTTAACTTTCAAAACCACTCCCACCTTTTGGGGGGCCTTTCATGGATTAAAAAAATATATAGTTTTAAGGGAAACAAAATCCCCGTTTTAAATTTGCGTCTCCACGATCCTGAAAATAGGAAGTCAATATCATGAGCTGAGGATGAGAGCATCTTGAAAACATGATGTTGCTTCCTGAGATAACTGTTCACTGGATGACTACACCCTCAGAGTACAACGTTCACTTCCCGATGAGTCAAAGTATCACTGTCAGGGTACCGTAATCCCCTGGTAAAATATTTCAGAATGTCGACATCGCACCTGCGTAATGCCATCCCTTGATATATTATCACCAAAACGTCATCATCACCAGTGTTAAACTACTTCTAGGATGCTGTCATTCCGTAAAAACAAGGATTAACCCATAATGTCATCGGCCTGTGATAAAAAACAACTTGCCCCAAATTATTGTCGTCATTATTGTCAGGATCTCAACACGTGGGCGGCACGTCCAGAGCTCCGTAGTACTATACCTTTAATTTGGTTCACGGATTATGTTTTGGGGTTTAGTTATTCAATGGGCTGCAGTTTTAAATCGTTTTACTGAGGTTTTGTTTTTCAGTCGTTTTGCTCTGAAGTTGTCTATTTCGTTTGAGTAGTATTAAAAAAAAATATTATATTAATTTGAGCCAAATTTTATAATTTGTTAGATTAAAACCCCACCAACCCTGACTAATGCTATTTTAGGAGCAAAGGTAAATTTAAAGAAAAGCTTTTCTTCCTGACTTGGGATTTCCAATAGTTTGGAAGAAAGTGACTCGGCAGTACTATAAAACAAACACACAATAAAAGCTTGAGTGTTTTAGTGCCAAAAATGAAATACCCATCTTCACAACAGCTTGTTAAGGACCCACAGTCAACATCTGCATAATCTTGAGCTATCTGAATATTGTCAGTGGACCCACTGGACCTTCTTATACAATGCAGTTATTGTTGTCCGATGTTCATCTTATAACTGATGTTCAGAAGAGATATGCAATATGTTATTCCAAGTTCTTTAAATTAGAATTGATGAAATAGAAACAAAAAGCAAAGACAAATATCAAGACCATTTTGATCTTTTCTTATAAATTTTATTTCTTCCCTGCATAATGTCCCTAACTACATTGGGTATATGCATGATATTTGGTAATTGTGATTTCATCCAAACCTCCTTGTTTTTTATTGAATAAAAATATTTTAGTTGGCAATGTATAACATGTGGTTTTGAATTTCTCACCAAAGTTTTCCACTTTTCAAATCTGATTCACTTTCAAGATTTTTGCAGGAACACGAAAGTATTTCTGCTAACGTTTCAATTGGTCACATATCACTTCAAGTTGACCTGATTTACACTTGATTTCAATTGTAACTAGCAATCTTGAATACAATGAAATAAGTCAAATTACATTCCAAAATTATTATAGCTGCCTTGATATGATCTCTGTCCTATGGGAAAACACTGATACTGTAATTAAAATGTCACAAAATGTCACATAATGGTTCCCTTTGATCTTGAGTATCGCACAAAAATTTCTCATTTTAAGCAGTCACATGAATTTCTTCTATTCATTTTTCCCCCTTTTTAAAAGCTGATTGCAAAAACACGATCAATCCTAGTCAATACTGTGCTGTTCTGTATCCTAATCAACAGCATCACTTTAATTTTTTGTTGTTGCCTGTATAAGCAGTTACAAAGACATAAGTATGATATATAATATAATAATACTTAATATCATAGGATACTTGAATTTCTAGAACTCCAAAATGAAATCTATTTTAACAGCTGATCATTTACAAGATTTGTTTTATCTTAACCTGTCCAATGTCAGCTCAAGAACTGCAGGGCTCACAATTATCTCTTGTTTGATGAATGATCAGATTTTGTTTACACTCTTTCTTAGATAAGGCTGGGTGGAGAAGTGCACCTTATCGATGTAAGACAATAGAAAAATAACCATTCAAATTAATATCAGCAACAATTGACCACTTTCATAGCCAATTTATCTACATTTCAAGGTCCATAAAGTTGTCATGTTTTAACAGTCTCTTGTCACAATAAAATGTTATGTTATAGCCTATGGGTTACAGATGGAACTGAATCGACTTTATTGACAAAGAGAGTGAGGAATGGCCAAGGATGTGGTGGCTCTTTTGTCACTATGTCTCTTCATTACAGTCACTACAACAGCCTTAAGTGTGTCCAAGATGACAGCCTGGATGACAATGGCGATGATGGAAGTTGTCACCCACTCCCACAAAGTATGCCAGCAGACACCATGGAACNGATGACACAGACCACAGTGTGGCAAATATACAGGATATAATCAGGAAGATCTGGACAAATGCTGCTAGAATTGAAAAGCAAGATCTGGCACAGTGCTTGCTGGATGCGGTTGGCTTGATTTCAGACAAACTTTGGTTCCCTTGAGATATGTCTTGCTTCCCATTGGCCGAATCTTTACTGATGATGATGTCATTCCTCAAGGAATCTGTATCCGAAGTAGACAAGGTGGATGAAGATTGAATACCATCCATGGCGACAGCGGAGTCAGAGTTGGTGCTGACGGGCAGTCTGGTAGTTGGTTCCTCGCAAGGTCTGATTTCAATGGTGCTCACTTCGTTATTGTTGTTCTCATTTGTGTGGTCGAGGCCAATCATCTTTCTCTCAGCTTCCTCTTGAGCTGATGTGATGCTGCTCCAGCTGCCTGAAGATGAAAAGCTTAGAGTATCCAGCTGGTTTTCGATCACTTGACTCGGTGTCAGGAAAATAGATTCACAGAAGATGCCTGTGGATCTTGTTGCACAATGGTTATTAGTTGCAATTATGTTGGTCTCACTGTCAACAGACGGGACAGTTGGCATGTGAGTCAGATAAGTCTTCATGACAGCAAGCATTTCAGCTTCCTTCACCTTGTACTTGGCATCATTCTCCTTCTTTGACTTTGAGCAGAATCCTTTCAACCACTTTCTCAATCTGAAGAAGAAAGACGTGTGGTTGATACTTTTCTGTACAGTCACTTCTGGCATTTCAAATTCTATGGGCAAGTCCACAATGTAGTCTGAACCTGTCACTGGACTGTGTTGATGTGTCTCCTGCTTGTAAGGTGTCATGTGTTCTTTCTTCAACAGGCCAGATATAGATGTAGCTCTTGTGATGGAGTCAGGTTGCTGTCTTGACAATTTATTCAGAGGTGGTGTAGATGGAGCAATGCAGCATTCATCCCAACTACCAACAGCGTTGTTTGATCCTTGGACATTATAATCCTCTGGCCATTGGTATGAAGTAACAGATGAATCTGTGATGCTTGCCAATTCACTCATATCAGTGCAGCTCAAAGATGTTGAAGAGTCACTGAGATCAATTGTAGAGCAGGAGTTGTTGGTGAGGGGAGTAACATTGGTCAGAGTGCTGCTTGTGCTCTCCTCTGAATCCAAACTGGAAATACTGATGGAAGAACTGGAGAAACTAGTCTTGGTAGTCAGAGAACAGGTTGAGCTACACTCTGAATCAAAACGGGAGCTGGAGTTGGCAGAACCAAGATGATACAAGCCTTCAGGATTATACATGTTGTATCTGACCGAGGCAGTTTCTTGTGAACAACCAGCTCCTGGGTCGTAGTATTTGCTCCCTGCGGTCCGATGACAAACAGCACACTTGTCAAGACAAGTTAACTTGTGATGGCATTCAAGCCGGTCAGCAGCACAGATAGGTTTAGAATCTCCACAAACATTTTTGGAGATATTGGTTGCCAAATCACTGTTGATGCTGAGGTCTGGTTTGATATCAATGCAAGAAGGGATACTGGAGATGACACACTGATTGGCAATGTTGTTGCACAAAGATGTCATATCGGTGTTCTGTTTCTGGTTACTCTGGTCAGTTGGTCTGGTTCCCTGCCACAGCATATCTGGAGCACTGACGGACTTTTGAGGGAACCTGTCTTTGACATGCTCAGTATCACCACTACTGTTGCTGAAGTGGCTTGGTGCAGACTGAACTTTCTTCAGCTGAGAACTGTCGCTAGTATTCTCAAACAAGTTCTTGCTCTGTTCCACAGGAAATGCAGCAGGTCGACCACAAGATGACAGAAGGGTCGGAGCAGTGCGGCAAAGTAATTCGATCAGAATGAGAAAAGGGAAAAGCACAGCACTAACCCCCGCTGCCTTGATCACCATACCCATGGTGATGTCAAATCCCATGGGACTGACCACTACAAACTCTTGCAGAGATGGCTGCAAAAGTGGCTCTGACATCAACCGCACTGCAACCATGGTGTAACTGATGCATGTAAACAAGCAGGTGATGCGACGGGATCCGGTGAAGTTCCCCTGATGCCAA